AACAACTAATAAATTTAAAAAAAATTTTTATGGATACTTAAAGGAATATAAAAAGACCCTAGTTTAGATGAAACTTATTTAATTGCTGCATTTTACTAACAAAGCAGGAGAAACATTTAAACAACTTGTAGATTTAAATAATTTTAAACATTAACTCCTATTTTTATAAAGAAGGTCCAATAAATTACAATGCCATAGACTCTTAGAGATCACTAGCTTGCTTGCCATTCTAAGAATCAAGAGCTTACTTGTTTCTTTTCCATTTCAATAGAAAAAGAAAATTAAACTAGGCAGATAAAAAAAAAGTTTTAGAAGTATAGTGATGGGAGAAAATGAGCTTCTCCTATATGGTCATTCTCTCCAAGTACTGAAGCTCATGGGGAGTTCCACTTGGAGCTCCGTCTCTGGTGCCTAGGCCCGACACATTTGCAGTTGTTGCCAGTTTCAGATGTAGTAGAAAATAAAGCTCAACTTCTCATGCTTTCTAGGGACAACTACTAGAGTAACTTTGATTCTTCTCTATTAACCCAGGGACAGAGTGCCAAGAGTGGGAACCAGATGAATGGATAATCTTAGATAAAATGCCAAGGCAATTACAGCTCTAGACAAAAGGACATCAACTGAAGCAGAGGACTATCAGAAAAAACCGTTATTCCTATCCACTAGAACTCCAGTACTCTGCAAAAATGTTTTCTTCCATTGTGCTACCACAAGTGGAACCACCACACAGATCTGCCTGGCTTCTCTCTTCCACTCTTAAAGGGATGCTGACTCTGTCTCATCTCCTGTTAGAACTGATAATGGAGTAAGTGTAGAAATTCAGTTGCTTTCCCTTACCACTCACCTGGGGTGGGAATAGCATTGTGAGTGGGCGAGGCAGCCAACCCCAGGTGACTCCCTGAGACTGGCAAGGCATTGCTCACAGAGGATGAAGTCAGCTGCTCCATCCCCACTGGACTCAAGTTCATTTCATTCATCCTAAGAAAGAGCACACGTGACTAGTTATGCAAAGAATTACGCAGTGACTCCATTTAAAGTAGTAAAGAAACTAAAACAATGGGGGTGGGCAAATAGGACTCAACCGACTATTATTTCATTTTTATGCTCACAGCTCTGAGACAGCTAGTGTCATATTCTTTCTACTGATAAGGAAACTGGGATTCAGAGATGGTAACTAACTCAGTCAATATCATATAGCAGAAATAGGATTTAACTCAGGTGTGCCTTGTTCCAAACTCTATGCACACCACCTAAAGCAAAGTTCGCAATCCTTAGAGGACACTGGCAATGAGTTTGTTTTTTTACATCACCCAAGTTTTTTCTTTCAAAATATTTGCTTTCTCCAACTGGATTATTATTTATAAAACCAGGACTTTTATAGGCAGTTTGTTTTAATCTGCTCAAAGAATATTTGCTAATTCTTTTTACTAGGAGTTAAAGTGATACTGGGTCTGAATTAGATTATCAGTGGTGTGAAGGACATTTTCTCATGGATAAGCATTTTACTGAAATTCTGTATCAAAATCTTAATAATTAATTATCTTAATAATATCCTCCACATACTGAGATTATGTAAGTTTTGCAGATATTTTAAAAAATTACTTCATATTTCCCACCAAATCTTCAAAATGAGGTAGATAAGGAAACAGGCTCATAAAGGTCATGTCATACTTCCCAAATCACACAGTAATTAAGTGGAAGAGCACAGATCATGCTGCAAAATATTGCCAAAAAGTTTTTCAATATACCAACTTTTTTTCATCTACAGACCATTTTTGGCAGGCCGAAGGATTTGAGAATCGCCTTCTCTGTGCAATCCATCTTGCATCGGCATTAGGAATGTCATTAGAATAAGAGTAATACTGATTTAAACAAGACGTTATTGGAGATTATCAATAAGTATTAGCTTCTATAACAGAATTTACAGACTGCCCATATTATAAACATTATAATTTCAAGAGGCTAGCCAATAGGCTATCTAAGGCCACAAATGACCTCCAATGCTTATAGGATCACAGTAATGCATGTTCTTCTGTGTGTGCCTATACATGGGAGGGGTTCGAAAGGGGAATCAAATGCTTGAGCCATAAAAGCAAATCTAAATAGGCTTTTAATTCTGGCCAATGGCAATATCAGCTACCAATCAACCTAATATAATACCTAACACTTATTACTCCCTTACTATATGTGTTAGGCACAGAACCAAGTGATTTACATGTAATTATCTCACTTAATCTTTATAACTACTGTGAGGTAGGTACTATTTGTGATTCTATTTTGGAAATGAGGAAACAGACTCAGAGACCCTAAGAAACTTAATCCAAGATTACATAACTAGTTGAGTGGCAGATGTGGGATTTAAATTCAGGTCTACCTGATTTTAACACAAGCTCTTAACTACAATTAGAAAAAAACAATTACAAGCAAAAAACCATTTTGCCTTTCCTATACAGTAGGATCTGTGTATTTATATAGTGGGGTATGCTTAAAGTCCCACATAGACCTGTTCCTGGATTATTCTATACCCACAGGCTTCAACCTTGTCCCTGGACAGGTATTTCAAGAAACTAAGCTCCCAGACATTAAAGTATACAAGGCCAACTGAGTACAGTATCTTCTATAGAGCAGGTATTCTGAAATGAAGACTAGATGGAGCAGTGCAAGCTTATCCTTACTATAAAGATAACCAGAAGCACATGACAAATGAGGTACATCAGATGTAGGACAGCACCTTTATAACAATAATTACGCTATAAAAGAATGCGAAAAAAAAATCCTATAGCCTAAAGAAACCATAGCTACCTTAATTTTGAAAGTTTCTGGGCTTGAGCTTGTTTTTAAAACATTTTTCCTGTAACTTTTTATACTATAAACAGAATTTTTAGTCAAAACTCACTGGAGCAGTAAGGACCTACAACAAATTGGTTACAATAATTTTTTAAAGTACAATTAAAAATCTGTACCTTCAAATCCCATTCTGAAAATTCCTGAATATTAATAATCTGTGTACTAATCTTGAGATAAAAATCAAAATGGTGTTTCTAGGTTGACTTCTAGGCCTTCTCAAACCAGTTCAAACCAGAGTTTGATGTGAGAGGCTCAGCAGATTTCTGCTGTTGTCACCAAAATGTGATGACTTCAGCAGCCATAAACCAAAGGTAACTAGTATCCCACAGAGAGAAAGCGGAGGAAGGGAATTTATGGTATGACCCTTATAAGACTCTCATTCTAAAGTGCAATTCTATCCTATCTACCTTTCTCATACGGGATTATAGGACGAAATCTTGGGAGAAAGGCCCGAAGCAAGATACCATCCCTACTCATTCCTCATAAAATCATTTTCTTCATACTTCTACAGCTAATGTGTGTGTCTCTAATTGACATATGTATGAACCATTTACCAGTTGCTCTTATAACTTTACTTAGAATGACATATAAGAAGCTAAATAAAATGCAGTCACTTTACAAAATGCATTAGGCAGTTTCAATAATTTTAACGAATCGTTTTATCTTCTGTATCCTAAACACAGAGCCTATGAAAGCACCCTAAAAGACCAGCCAAATATAACTATTTCTGTACTACCCTGGCATGGTAGCATAAAATACCACACTTTAAACATTAGCATGAAGCTTGTAGAATTAAGAACTTAATTTCCCCACATTACCATAGAGCCAGACAAATCAGCAAAATGCAAGGTGATCCATGGTGATGAGCTAAAAGATACACTTTGGAACTCAGATAAAGATACTATTAAACGCTCAAATAACTCAAAGGCACAGGATAAAAGTGTCAACGAGCCAACAATCGATGTATGGCTATTTGTAACTATCCACACCTGTAGTAAATTAGATAGAATGAGAGTATATTCAACACAACACTAGTTTCTGGAATTCTTGTTCACTATGGGACACAAATCCATTTGCAAGTCGCACCTGTAACCTTCCCAGTAGCAGTAATCAAAAGCACTCTGAACTCTCGTGTGCCAGACGTCTTCCAAAGACGTCGTCACCAGCGCTAAACCAACCTCACTACTTACCTGTGATGCATCTGCTTGGAGCCAAGTGTCAGAAAAAAGAGCACAGGAGTGGCGGGGAACCAGCATCAGGGTTTCCGTTCCGGGGTCACGTGCTACCGCATCTTGCTTACAACCGCTGCACCACTCGTCTCCGGGGCCGCCCGGGGCCGCCCAACTTCTTCCGAAGGCCGACGGCCGCGCACCCCGCCGCGAGGTGGGACATGCCGAGGGACACCCCGGGCTTTTCCTCCAGAGGCTTCGGGGGGGTGGTGCTGCCCAACCTGGGGGGAAGGACAAGGGCGGTCACCAAAACACGGGGAGGATGAAGTCCCCGTCCCCTCGCCGACTCGACCCCCCGCCGGCATGGGGCCCGCAGCGCCCCTGCG